TTCTGGTACTAAGCACTTATAAATGGAAATAGGAGAAAACTATCTTATTAACAATAGCATCACACTTATAAAATACATAGAGATAAATGTAATAAGAAAAATATTTAAATTTATTATATTAATAAAATTAAGGTATGAGTTTAATGAAATTTCAGTTAGAATCACAACAGGGCTTGGATCTTTTTAATTTGAAAAATATCTTAACAGTTTTATGTGGAAGAATAAAGTGTCTAAGAATAGCTAAGAAAGGTACAAAAAGAATAGTGAAGATTGCTTTCACCCACTAGATATCAGAAGATATCATAGGCTCACTGTAATCAAATCACTATGGTATTGGCATAGCAAGATAATACTAGATTAGTGAAACAGCCTAATGAATCCAGAAATATATGCTAATATATATGAGAACTTTATATGATGAATGTGTTGATTCAAATCAGTGGCAAAAGGTGCCATCATAATAGGCTATTGATCTGGATGGAAATAAAACTAGACAAATCCCTCTCTCATGCCATATGACAAAAGTAATTAGCAGATAATTGAAGCAATGCATATAAAAAGCAAAACAGTAAACATTTTGCAAGAAAATCTGGGAGACTACACGTACAATCTTGAGGTGTGGGAAACATTTTTAACCAACCTTGCCAACTCTGAAGACATGAAAGAAAATATATTTCTGCTTATAAAAATTAAAAACTGTTTTGGTAAAAGTTATAACAAAGTCAACAGACAAACAATAGATCTTGGGGGAAACTGCAATATACATGACAAAGAGTTAATACTTGTAATAATAAAAGGGTTCTCCTAATTTTTTTTTAAATGAAAGAGTCCAAAGAATAATGGGCAAAGCATATGACTAATTAAATCCCCCAAATAAATTCAATAGCCAACAAGCATTTAAAAAGATGCTCAAGTTACTAGAAATAAAAATAACACAATGAAAGTAATGATGTAATATCACTCCACACCTGTAAAACTGGCAAATTTTAAAAACAGGATAAAACTCATCACTACGTGAGTGCAGAGAGAAGGCCATTTTCATACTTCGATGGTAGAAATGTGTGAAAAGTTCTGGCTTCTTTGGAAATTAAAACTTAAAAGGAAACATTCCCTTCGTTCCATTAATATTCCTCTTGCAAATTAGTTCAACAGAAGTAAAAGCACCAGTATGCAATGATATAGGATATAGTAGCCAAAAACTGGAATAAAGTGAACGTAGATACAGCCATACCATAGAATCTTATATAGCCAATAAATATAATGAATTAAGGCTATGCCAATTGACTTAGAGTTCTAGTAGGTGTTAATGAGTGAGAAATGTGTGTACAATGTCCTAATTTTATAAAACAAATAGTGTCCAAGAAAACCTTTGTCTGTGTGTATGTGTATGTGAATATATATGATCATACCGGGGTTACCCAGTTGAGGTGGGGGAGAAGGGGACTGATGTAGAAAGAGGGTGGGGAGCCAAACAGAAAGAACCAAAAAGACTATAAAGTATGTACAATATGACCACATTTAATGTTTACATAGCCACTATCTATGTATTATATTTATATCTTTATAATACACATTTAAAGAAGACAAAACAAAATATAAAATAAATGATTTCAACATTCAACTCAATAAGCAAAAATTGAACAACAAAATGAACCAAAGGAAATTAGAAGGAAGGAATGAACTAATGAAAGTAGAAGCAGAAACTGATGCAACACAAAGACAAAAGAGATTTGATAAATCAAACCAAAAGAAAATTCTTGACAAGACCAATAAAATCAAGAAAACTCCTGTAAATATTATTTTTAAAAGAGAGAAGAGAACATATACAACATAAGAAATGAAAAAGGAAATATAACTACAGACACAGAACAGTTTAACAAAATCACAAGAGACTCACATGTAACTTGATACCAATACATTATCAAATCTAGGGATAGTAGATTTCTTTCTATGAAAATATAGACCAAAATATAGACAAAAATATACCAATATTTACTGAAGAAGAGGTAGAAAAATCTGAATCAACTGATGACCATAGACAATATTGATAGTTATTTAGTACTCTCCCTAAATGCACCAGAAAGCCCCAAACATGAAAAGCTTCTGAACTCATGGCTCATATTATCCTTACACCCAAAGTAGAAAAGATATTTAAAAAACACACATCGCATGTACACACAAGAGAACCAGACATGAAACTCGTGTGTGATATTGATTGGATTTCATTGCCTTCTCTCTATGGAAGCTTGGGCAGGCGGAGGGAAGTTTTGTCTTTGTCCCTTCAACCTCCCTATACTCCAGTCTCTAGATTCTGGAGGAGCAGCATGTGACAAAGAGGAGCAATGGACAAAACAGAACAAAATATCAACAAATAGGTCAGACCTATGAAAAGAACTGGCAATTAGCATTTATGCTAATAACACAGATGTCAGCACAACTTACCCAGAAATGTTTCTTTGGGGCCCAGGTAGCATCACAACCATTCTAACCCGATGTCTGCACCTTCCTCCAAGCAGACTTACACCCCCACAATCCTGGCCCCTCATCAGACCCCACAGAACATGCCTTTACCTTGTGTCCACAGGTAGCTCACCGAGATCACTTTGCATATAGTCCCATGACAGTTCCACTGCACCCAGGTAGTATCTTCTGGTGGCACTAAAGCAGAATCGCAAAAGGCACAGAAAGAAGTAGGTGGAGAGCTCTATTTGCATGACTTATTGCCACAAATGTTCAACTGAAGCAGCAAAAGGTTAATTCTTCTTTAAAATGTCTTTAGCTCCCAGGAGGGGAAAAAAGTAAAATTTCTGATTTAATGAAAAGTGCCAATTTCTTTGCAGAGCATTTTAAGGAACTTTACACGCTGGATGTGCTTAGCACTAAGCAGTAACCGACAGGATTGCTTCCTTTTTATCAGTGGGAAGTAGCCACAGGAAGAACTGAAGTAGGAAAAGGGAGGCTACTAAACTTAACCCATTCACTTCTGAGAGCAGTAGGGGCATGAGAAGTCTGCTTTAATCAGAACCTTTAAGGAAAGGAGGAGAGGGATGGATAAGTCAAAGTGAACAGGAGCTTTAATTTGTGCTCCTATTCCTAGCCTACTACAACCCTCTTCCTGATTGGCAGCAGCAAGAGAAGTTCTGGATGTTGTCGAAGATTCTAGAATTCACTTGCACTAGCAAGAGTAACCAGCAACCTGTTAGTTTCTCTGCTTCTGCACTTGCCCCCCACACTGCTGCCAGTGTGAGGAATTTATAGTTTTTAAAACTATAGTTTTACATAAAACATGAGGTTAGGCAACTATTGTTTTAAAAACTATAATTTATAGTTATAATTTAAAACTATAAAGCAAATCCTACCACTCCTCTTCTCAGAATCCTCCAATGGCTTCTGACCTCCATCAGGGCAAAACCCTACATCTTTACCATGGCCTAAGTACTAGAGCATCCCACATGGTTGGCATGCCCTTTCTCCTGACTTCTGTAGTCTCATCTCACTCTGGTTATACTGGTCTCCTTACTCTTCCCTAAAATACCAAGCACACTCATGTCCCTGGACCTCAATACTTGCTATTTCTTTTCCCCTAGATTTCCACGTAATTCCTCTCCCACAACTCCTTCGCATTTCAGCTCAAATCTTGCCTGTTGAATGAGGTTTAAATATGGAACACCACATTTATGTTGTAAGCTCTTTACCCTACCTGCATTACTGATATTTTTCTCAATAGCACTCATAACCACCTGGCATTTATTCATTTATTTATTTTGTCTTGTTTTTAACCTAACACTTTTCCGGGTTGTTTACATTTGGCCCAGGTATAGAATCTTTACATCAGAATGTAGCCATGGTGAGCTCAAACACCCTACTCAGGTTAATGTGTATTAGGGAGAGTGAGGTCTCCCACAGGGGCCTCAAAGTATAAAAGCTTATGAGAAGAAACGATCAGGGTTGCTATAAAAACGTTATCATTGAGCTCAGTTCTGCACAAACAAGAATGTGTTCAGGAGCAATTGGTATACTGTTGACTGGTTTGGAAACAGGCGGCAAGATGCCCCTTTGATAAACACTCCTCTCCAACAGGTACAAGGATGCAGAGATGACAGCTGACACTACATGCCAGGAAGTATTCTAGGTGCTTTTAAATACAGGTACTACTCTTACCTTCATTTTAACTGAAGCATGGAGAGGTTAGGCAACTTCCCCGTGGTCACACAGCTTGTGAGTGGTAGCATTCAAACCCGTGTACTCTGGCTCCAGAAGTCATGCTCCTAACCACTATGCTATACTTCTATGCCTCAGAACTGAAGAAATCCCAGTTCCCAATCCTCTGGGAATAACAGTGCAATGGAGGAGACAGAAAAGTAGACAGTTACAGCACAGGGTGCTACATTCTCTGCCAGGTGCTACATGACAACACGGCAATGTGGATACAGATAAAGTAACTGAGGTACAGAGACGTTAAATGACTTGCCTACAGCCACACAACTACCGATTTATTTTTACTCAACTCCTATGGTGCTACAAAATCCTATATTAAGCAGTATAATTGAAAAGAAAAAGAAAAGAATAGCACAGTGATTATAAAGAAAATAGCTTGATTGTGTCACTCCTGAAGTAGTGGATCAGATGTCACTGTTTATTATCATTCACTAATTACATTTATGAATAATTTTTAAAAGTAAAGGAAAAGACTGGCTGTTTTAACTAACATAATAGAAACTTGCTGAATTTTCTGTTGAAGATATATTTTGAAGTCAGTTTTAAGTATAACTCACATATAAAATTCAAAAGAAAAATTAAATACATAAACAAAATGTGTCTTCCTCCACTAAAAAAGTAGGGCACATCGCAGGAGCCGATAAATATTTGTTCAATGTTTACATGAGCAAACACGGTCACTCAGCCGTCTTTATTTTCAGTGACTCATAGGTAAAATATTCTTCACCAGGTGAGGATTGAGTCGCAGTAGCGTCAGGAACTCGCCTCCAGGTACTTAGCGAGCGAGCCCCGAAGGCCGCGGTTGGTGGAGGGGGGAAAATGGGGGACAGTGGGGGGTAATTTGGGGAGACTGAGGTGAGGAGTAGGGGGAGAACTAGGGAGGGAGCCTCACCCCCGGGAAGCTTTCTGCGCACGCGCATCTCGGTGCATCTGTTGGGCGGGGCTGCGGGGCCTGTGACACAGCCCGCTGAGCTTTGTGATGTAGCCGCTTGCGGAGACTGGAAGCAGCCGCTGCGCGCCCGGCCCGCCCTCTTCCGCTGCCGCCGTGGGAATGGAAACATCTGCCCCACGTGCCGGAAGCCAAGTGGTGGCGACAACTGAGCGCCACTCCGCGGCCTGCCGCGCAGATCCTCTGCGTGTGTCCTCGCGAGACAAGCTCACCGAAATGGCCGCGTCCACTCAAGGTAAGGGCGGGCGCGCGCGCGGCCGGCGCCGCGGGGAGCCGCCTTCCTGGGCTCCGGAAGAGGAAGGGCTCAGCGCCCGCCAGTCCCGACCGAGCTCCCCCGGGAGCGAAAGCGGCGCGGGGACGGGGAGGGCGCTTGAGGCTCGCCCCTGGCCCATCCGCTCCCAGGGTCCAGCCAAGGTCACGCGCGTGTCTGGGGCCTAACCACCCCGGTGTGTCGTCTCCAGTGGAGCTCACCCAGCCTTCCGGCGCCGCCCCCGGCAGCTGAAGCACGGAAACGTTCTGTCCCTGTTCTCGGAAGCGGTCTGGCTTCTTTGTCCCTTTGGACGTTCATCTCAAATGCCTCATGGCGTCGTTCCGTGTACAAGGCACCTCCCCAATTGCTTTATTGTTGGTTTTGAAAAACTAGCACATATGAGATGGTACTTAAGAATAGCCTTCTGTTTAGTCGGCATAGTCAAAGATTCCGTGTAATTCGCAGTGGAGCACGTCTTTAAGTTATACTTTTTACCCTATTTTGAATGCTTAAGTTGTATTTAATTTAGTACTGACTCACAGGATCCCATTGCTAAACAGAGCCATGATCGAAAACTCAATTATATAAAAATAAAATTACATAAAGTATATTAAAGGCAGTGGAAATACTAAAAACTCATCACTTTTATTATTTACCATCTTTTATTGTTACTTTGCTTTTGGGGTTATTTATACATCTATTGTATCTCTGTGGAGGAGATACTATACTATGGTGCTCTACTGTGCATCTCTTCCCAACTCTGGGTTCAGTGGTGTCACAATTCAGTAATGTCACGCTCACGATGAATGAATACACAATGGAAATTGGCTACACTACAAATCAACCCTTGCCTAAAGCCAACTGTTAAACATTTTACCAGCACACCGCTAAATTTTAGATGACTCTGGGAAGGTGGAATGTGCAATGTGATAATTAAGTATTTACCTGCAGAGCAGACTTCTCTTATTGACTTTAAACATATAGGTCGATCAGGTATTTGCACCTAGGAAATTGTTGTGAGAAATTTTGAGGTTAAGATGAATTTTAATTGTTATCACGGTGATGATCACATAATACTGTGATCATTGATTTTGTGGCCTCATAAACGTGGCTAGTGGCTGACTTTGTCTCTCATAGTGCTTAGCAGTGTTTGACCAATGACTGACCAAATATCTCGCATTTAATCCACCTTCCCCCCACTCTCTTTTTTAGGGACTAGATCTGTCATTCAGGCTACAGCACAGTGGCACAATCATAGCTCACTGCAGCCACAACTCCTGGGCTCAAGCAATCCTCCCACCTCAGCCTCTAATTCCCCCTTTTGACTGGAGCCACCTGTTGATCTAAGGGGCTTGGTCAAATTACATTAAAACAAAACTGTAATGTTTTGCTGTTACATTAGAAAAATAATTTATTTTTTTAGAAAAATAAATTATTTAACTACTTGTGAGGCCATGGAGTACCCAGGTACTCAAACATCCATATTTTGTCTGCTAAATGGGCATCTGTGATGTATCCTGAATGAATTCTTGAATATTTTGTGTATAGTTTAAGGTAGAGGTTGAGAGTAGTTAAAAAAAAAAAAATGTAGTAGTTGTAACATCACTTGTTGTTTCCTTCATTGAATTACCTTGCTGCTGTGTTATTAAAAATCAAATGACTATATGTGTGGATCTATTTCTGGATTCTTGATTCTCATCTATTTCTGGATTCTTGATTCTCTTCCATTGCTATATTTGGGTATCCTTCGGTCAGTTTGACAGTATTGAATGTCATCGCTTTATAAGTCTTGGAATTAAGGTAGTTGTATATTATACTGTAGCTTTATAATAAGCCTTGAAATTCCTTGAACCCTCCTCTTTCCCCTGCCCGCCCCCGCTCCCAGGATTATTCTGGCCGTTTGTATTTTCCTGATTGCAGCAATATTTACGATTCCTCGTGGTCTTTTTCCTAGTGACTTTGACACTCCTCCCACCCAGGGGTGGGGTCTGTATTCCCTCTTCATGAATCTGGATGGGAGCTTGTGACTGACTGCCTGTTCCTACAGAATGTAGTGGAAGTAATACTGCATTTGCTCTCTCCCTTTCTTGGGACTTTCACCTCCTGATCTCTGCTCCTATGCTGTGAGGAAGCCTAGACTGATTCACAAAGAGTAGCTGCCTGTCTATCTGAATAAGTGTAGAGTCTTCAGACCCAGCCTGTAAATCTTCTGGCTAAAGCCTCAGACATCATGAAACAAAGACAAACCACAGTGCCGTGACTGAATTCCTGATAGAATCTGAGAGCATAATATATGATTGTTTTGCTTCATGAAGTTTTGGAGTAATTGGTTGTACAGCCGAAGTAACTGGAACACAGCTGGGTTTTTTTGTATCTTCATATGAATTTTAGAACCAGTTTGTCAATTACATAAAACTTACTTTTTTGTTGGGTGCGGTGGCTCACGCCTGTAATCCCAGCACTTTGGTAGACCAAGGCAGGTGTATCACCTGAGGTCGGGAGTTCGAGACCAGCCTAACCAACATGGAGAAACCCTGTCTCTACTGAAAATACAAAAAATTAGCTGGGCGTGGTGGTGCATGCCTGTAATCCCAGCTACTTGGGAGGCTGAGGCAGGAGAATCACTTGAACCTGGGAGGAGGAGGTTGCGGTGAGCCGAGATTGCGCCATTGCACTCCAGCCTGGGCAAAAAGAGCAAAACTCCATCTCAAAAACAAAAAACAAAAAACAAGAAAAAAACCTACTTTTTAATTGGGATTATATTGAATATATAGATCAATATATGGAGAGAATGAACATCTTAAAAATATTGAGTCTTGCAAAACATAAACATAGTATATCTCTGTTATTTTAGGTCATCTTCAATTTCTTTGCAGTGTTTTGTAGTTTACAGTGAAGAGGTCTTGTGCATCTTTCATTGAATTTATTCCAACATAATTTTTGCAATTAAAATTATTTTGTTTTCCAGTTCATCATTTCTAATACGTAAAAATTCAAATGACTTTTTAATATTGGTCTTATAATCTGTGACCTTGCTTCTGGTACCTTTTTGTAGATTTTTCTGGGTTTTCTATATACACAGTTATATTATCTGCCAATGAAGACAGAATTATTATTGTACCTCCTTTCTAATCTCTTTGACTTTTATTTCTTTTCTTCTATTGTACTGGCCAGGAACTCCAGTACAGTGCTGGGCAAGGTGGCTCACACCTGCAATCCCAGCACTTTGGGAGGCTGAGGAGGGAGGATCACTCGGGGCCAGGAATTCCAGACCAGCTTAGGCAACAAAGTGAGACCTCCTGTCTACAAAAAAAAAAAAAAAAAAAAAAAATCAGTCGGTCACAGTGGTGCACAGCTGTAGTCCAGCTACTGGGGAGGCTGAGGTGGGAGGATTGCTTGAGCCCAGAAGTTTGAAATTGCAGTAATCTGTGATAGTGCCACTGCACTCCGATGTGGGTGATAGAGTGACACCCTGTCTCAAAACAAAACAAAACAAAACAAAAAGCAGTTGAATAAATTTTAGGGAAAGGAAAGTGTTCCATATTTCACCATCAAGTATGATGTTAGTTGTATATTTTTCATAGATGTCCTATATCAGATTGAAGAAATTCCCTTCTATTCCTGTTTTCTACTTTTTATTCTGATTTTTTTCTTTGATTTTGAAGTATAAAATTTCTGTAATTATTATTTTGTACAGTAAGTATTCATTTAGATTTATCCAGCTATTTACCCATTCCAGTGTCTGTCATTCCTTTCTGCATTTCCAGACTTCCATGTGGCATCATTTGTTGTCGGCCGGAATAACTTTAGTGTACCTCTTTGAATGTTACTTCTATCCCATTCTTTCTAATCTTCTGGAACTCCGATTACATATATGTTTAATCTTTTGAGCAGTTTTCGAACATTGTTATTTGCTTACTTCAGCATCTTGATCGTCACTGTTCTATTTCTTTTTTTTTTTTTTTTTTTTTTTTGAGGCTGGGTCTCACTGTGTCACCCAGGCTGGAGTGCAGTGGTGTGATCTTGGCTCATTACAACCTTCGCTACCTGCGTTTAAGTGATTTTCCTGTCTCAGCCTCCCGGGTAGCTGGGACTACAGGCGTGTGCCACCACGCCCAGCTAATTTTTGTATTTTTAGTAGAAACAGGGTTTCACCATGTTGGCCAGGCTGGTCTTGAACTCCTGACTTCAAGTGATCCGCCCCCTGGGCTTTCCAAAATGCTGGGATACAGGTGTGAGCCACCATGCCTGGCCTGCTTCTATTTCGTTTATTTAAACAAATTTTGTTTCTTTATATGGCTTTGCCTTTGCATGGGTAGTAGTAATTTTCTATTGTTTATTGTATTATGTGTGAAAAGATTGTACAGACTCCATGCCAGATGAAGTTGATCATTTGAGGTCAATTTTACAGTAAACAGCTTTGAATAGTACATTGCTGACATTTCATATCAGACGTTTCTTAGTGCGGTGTTTCCAGGGAAACAGGGCTGGGTATAGTAGGGGAGCCTGACATTATCTTCCCACAGAGAAAGGGATTGACATTTTGTTAATTCTTTCTCCATGCTTGGGTAAATCACTTAACTTTGGAACCTTCATTTCATTTTTTTTTTTTTTTTTTTTTCTGACAGAGTTTCACTCTTGTTGCCCAGGCTGGGGTGAAATGGCGCAATCTCACCTCACTGCAACCTCTGCCTCCCCGGTTCCAGTGATTCTCCTGCCTCAGCCTCCCGAATAACTATGATGACAGGCGCGTGCCACCACGCCCAGCTAATTTTTGTAGTTTTAGTAGAGACGGGGTTTCGCAGTGTTGGCCAGGCTGGTCTTGAACTCCTGACCTCAGGTGATCTGCCCACCTCGGCTTCCCAAGGTGCTGGGATTACAGGCGTGAGCCACTGTGCCCGGTGCCTTTTTTTTTTTTTTTTTTTTTTTTTTAGGTGGAGTCTCATTCTTGTTGCCCAAGCTAGAGTGCAATGGTGTGATCTTGGCTCACCACAACCTCCACCCCTCAGGTTCAAGAGATTCTCCTGCCTCAGCCTCCCGAGTAGCTAGGATTACAGGCATGTGCCACAACCTCCGGCTAATTATGTATTTTTAGTAGAGGTGGGGTTTCTCCATGTTGGTCAGACTGGTCTTGAACTCCTGACCTCAGGTGATCTGTCTGCCTCCAGCCTCCCAAAGTGCTGGGATTACAGGCGTGAGCCACCGTGCCTGGCTTTCATTTCTTAATTATAAAATTGAGTTAATAAGTAGTACCTACCTTATTCTTTGGATTTAATTAGATATACATGATTAATGTTTAGCACATTGCCTAGTAAATAGTAAGAGCTCAATTAAACATTACCTCTCATCTTCATTATCACTGGAGATCTACGTAGTACTTAGAAAATTTGTGGATTACTGAATAGCATTGAGTTATTCCTGAAGAGAAGGGGCAAATTTGTTTCATTTGGGATGCATTACTGGCAGTTTTTTGTAGGTCTTCTTGGATTGATTTATTTATTTGAGATGGAGTCTTGCTCTGTTGCCCAGACTGGAGTGTAGCAGCGCTATCTCGGCTCACTGCAACCTTTGCTTCCTGGGTTCAAGCAATTCTCGTGCGTCAGCCTCCCGAGTAGCTGGGATTACAGGCACCCGCCACCACGCCTGGCTAATTTTTGTATTTTTAGTAGAGATGGGGTTTCGCCATTTTGGCCAGACTCGTTTCGAACTCCAGACCACAGGTGATTCGCCCACCTCGGCCTTCCAAAGCGCTGGGATTACAGGCGTGAGCCACCATTCCCAGCCTTTTTTGTTATTTTTAAATTTGAGAGGACAAACTAGAGGACTAATTCTAGATTTTCTAGGTTTTTCCCTCTAATATAGACATTAGCATTTGCTGATTTTAGTCTGATTTTCCAAAATTGTAACTTAGAATAAATTTACTATTTAAAATACAATATTTGGAGGTTTCGTATTATATCTATCTCTGTTTCTTTAAATATATTTTAATCTAGTTAGGTATGGTAGTGATTTCTTATAAAAGTAAATATTTTTTTATTTAACATATTATTTCTTGTAGGAAACTTTGACGGAAATTTTGAGTCACTGGACCTTGCGGAATTTGCTAAGAAGCAGCCATGGTGGCGTAAGCTATTTGGGCAGGAATCTGGACCTTCAGCAGAAAAGTATAGCGTGGCAACCCAGCTGTTCATTGGAGGTGTCACTGGATGGTAAGTGATGTGAAAGATGTCCATTGTCTTTTGTGCATGATTTAGTATTGCAGTTATAGGTACCATCATCTCCTTTAACCAATGAAAACACATTGGCTTTTGTGAAATTGGTCACTTAATGTGTAGCGTGTGTCTAAACATCATCTTAAAGTGCCATTTAATGGTTATACATAATGATTGTTTGCTATATGCCAGGTTCTGTTTGAAGTATTTACATAGATATCTCGTTTCCTTCTCATAACTCTGGAATTAGTACTGTTATTTTCTATCCTCATTTTATAGAAACTGAGGCTCAGAAAGATTAGTTTTCCCAAGGTCACATAGCTGGTAACTGGTAGAATAAAGAGCTAACTACTTATTAGCTATGTCAGATGATAACTTAATATGATACAGCTTATGGTTTCATTTGTAATAAATTCAAAAAATGTTAATAGCAAATTTCATAGGTGAATATTGAATCCATTAATCTCATAGACTCTTTACATTTGAAAAATTTTATAGCACCATATAGCAAATATAGAACAGCGCATATAACAGATGTACATTTTAGCAAATACTTAGAGTGAACACCTATGTAACAAATGCTGAGGTTAAAAAAAATGTGGTGCACCCTAGAAACTCAAGAGGTTGTTATGCAGTTATTTCATTGCTTTTCTTTGTAGTTTTAACACCAGTTATGTCACTAAATAACATACTGTGGTTTACCTGGTTTCCAGATTAAAGTAAATGCAATCAGTATGTATTCTTTTGAGTCTTGCTTTTTTTGCTCAACCTGATGTTTCATATGTTCAACTACTTTGTGTATAGTTGTAGTTTCTTCACTTTCATTTGTATTTTGAGTTCCATTATATGACTATACCATAGTATATTGATCGAGTTGATGACTGATATTTGAGTTGCTTCCATTTTTGGCTAATACTATGCTGATATGAGTATTAGATTTCCTGGTGTATATATGCATACATTTCTGTAGGGTCTGTACCTAGAAATTGCCAGGTAATGGGTATAGGTATCTTTAGCTTCACTAAATAATGTCAAACCACCTTCCAAAACTGTTTTTAACAGTTTACAGTCCCAACAAGGACTGAATGAACCTGTTGTTGTACATGGCGGCACTTGATTTTGCCAGGTTATTAAATTTTTAAAAAATTAGTTAATTTTTCCTTAGCAAGGTAATCTAATTAAATCCAGACTGTTAACATTTTGCCAAGTCTGGTAGTTAGGTAGTAGTATTTCATGGTGGCTTCATTTACATTTCCCTGAGTAGGAGTGACATTGATCAACTTTTACGTATGTTTGTTGACCATTTGGATCTCCTCTTTCAGTTCCACTCTAGTCTTTTTCCTCTGAAGTTGTCATTCTTTCCCTTGTTAAGCTGTAAGAGTTCTTTATATATTCTGAATATTCTCAGTCCTTTGTTAGTTGTGTGTATTACAGATATTTTCACTCATTCTGTGGTTATCTTTTGATTTTATGGTATCTTTTGATGAACTGAAGATCTTATTTTTAATATAGTCAATTTTATCAATCTTAACCTTAATGGTTAGTGATTTTTATGACTTATTTAAGTAATCTTTGCCTACCCCATGTTTCAGAACTTTTATTATTTGACCTTTCACATTTAGATTTATTATCCACCTGGAATTGTTTTTGTGCTCGGTATGTGGTAGATTCCTCTTTTCTTCCCCATGTGGAATACCCATTTGTCCCAACTTAATTTATTGCAAAAGCTATCCCTTTCCCCGTTGCTTTTTGTGAGTGTGTGTGTGCATGCATATTTGTGTGTCTGCTATCTTATTCTTTAGGAACATCTTGGCTATTTTCTTTATCTCTTAGTTTTTAAGTTTAATAAATAGGTATATTATAAGTTGCACATATTTAAAGTATACAATTTGATACATTTTTACATATGTACCTGCCCATAAAACCATCACCACAGTCAAGATAATGAATATATCTATCACTTCAAAAGCTGCTTTGTACCTCTTTGTAATCCCACACTCTTTCCTTCATGCCATGCTCCCACCACTGATCTGCTTTCTATTACTATAGATTACTTGACGTTTTCTAGATTCTTTTTAGAAGTGGAATTACATAGTATATATTCTTTTTTGCCTGGCTTCTTTTATTCACCATAATAATACATTTTTTTGTTTTGAGATGGAGTCTTGCTTTGTTGCCCAGACTGGAGTGCAGTGGTGCGATCTTGGCTCACTGCCTCCTGGGTTCAAGCAATTCTCCTGCGTCAGCCTTCGCCATAATAATTTTGAGATAATCTGTACTTTTCTGTTTATCAATAGTTCATTCCTTTTTATTGCTAAGTAGTACTCTGTTGTATGGATGTACAACAATCTGTTTCTCCATCCACCTTTGATGCACATTTGAGTATTTTTTTTTCATTGTTTGGCTATTACAAATAAAACTTCAAGTTTGTGTCCAAGTCTTTGTATGAACATATGCTTTCATTTCTTTTGGGTAAATATCTAGGAATAGTATGGCTGAGTCACGTAGTAAGTGAATGTTCTAAATTTACAAGTACCTGCCAGTTTTTTAAAGTGCCTGTATCGTCTTACATCTCCACCAGCAATGTGTGAGGGTTCCAGTTCCTCTGCATCCTCACTAACACTTGGTATTATCTTTTTGATTACAGCCATCTTAGTGGGTATGAAGCTGGATCTCATTGTGGTTTGAATTTGCATTTCTCTAATGACTAATGATGTTGAACATTTTCATGGGCTTATTTTTTGCCATTCGTATATCTTTGGTGACTTATTTGTTCAAATCTTTTCCACATATTTTTATTGGGTTGTTGGTTTTTTTTCATTGCTGAATTGTGAGAGTTCTTTAAATATTCTGGATAGAAGTCTTACATATGTGATTTGCAAATACATTACTTCTGTGTAGCTTTTCATTATCTGAACTGTACCTTTAAAAGAGCAGAAGTTCTTAATCTTGAAGTGCAACTCTTTTGTAGCTGCAGCTTTTGGTGTCATGTCTGAGAATATTTGCTTAATCCAGGGTCACCAAGATTTTCTCTCGCTTTTTCTAGATGGTATATAGGTTCAGATTTTATATTTAGTTCTGTGATCAATTTTGATTTACTTTTTGTATATGGTATAAGGTAGGAATCCAAGCTTTTTTTGCATATGGATATCTAGTTGTGCCCACATTTGTAAAAAAGACTATCTTTTTCTCCACTGAATTGGCTTTACACCTATGTTGAAAATCAGTTGACTATATGTTTTTGAGCTCTTTGTACTGCCAAATTGTTTTTCATCAAAGCTATTTTGAGTATTCTAGGTATTTAGCATTTCCATATGAATTTTAGAATTAGCTTGGTGCCAGTTTCTGCCAGACACCTGATGAGATTTTGACTGGGATGGCGTCGATCCATAAACATTGGTGTCTCTCTCCAGTTTGTTTAGGTTTTCTTTAATTTCTCTCAGCAATGCTTGTAGATCTTACACATCTTATATCAGATTTATCCCTAAGTATTTCATATTTTAAAAATTTTTTAACAGTAAAAAGATACAAATTAACTCAGCCAAGGGAAGAGGCACATGGAATAGGGTCCTGTGGAGTCTTTATATTTCTTTCTTTCTTTTTTTTTTTTTTTGAGACATAGTCTTGCTCTCTCACCCAGGCTAGAGTGCAGTGGTGTGATCTCGGCTTACTGTAACCTCTGCCCTCCGGGTTCAAGCAATTCTCCTGCTTCAGCCTCCCAAGTAGCTGGGACTACAGGTGTGAACTGTCACCCCAGGCTAATTTTTGTATTTTTAGTAGAGTCAGGGTTTTGCCATATTGTCCAAGCTGGTCTCGAACTCCTGACCTCAAATGATCTGCCTGTCTTGGTCTTCCAAAGTGTTGGGATTACAGGCATAAGCCTCCACACCCAGCTGAGTCTTTACATGTAAAGTAGGTTTCTTGTAGTTTCCATATAGGTGGTTGTTAATTTTTTAGAATCCAATTTGACAATCTCTTCCTTTAAATTAGGGTGCTTAGACTATTTACATTTAAGTTTATTTTAAAAATTCTTTTAATTGACTAGTAAAAATTGTAGGCTGTGTGCAGTGGCTCACACCTTTAATACCAGCACTTTGGGAGGCCGAGGCGGGTGGATCGTTTGAGCTTGGGAGTTTGAGACCAGCCTGGGCAACATGGTGAAACCCCATCTCTACAAAAAATACAAAAATTAGCTGGGCGTGGTGGTGTGCACCTGTAGTGCTAGCTACTTGGGAGGCTGAAGTGGGAGGACGGCTTGAACCTGGGAGGCAGAGGTTATAGTAAGCCAAGATCGTGCCACTGCACTCCATCCAGCCTGGGTGACAGAATGAGACCCAGTCTCAAAAAGGAAACAAAACAACACAAAAATTGTATATAATTGTATATACATGATGTTTTGATATATGTATACATTGTGGAATGGCTAAATCAAGCGATTTAACATGTATTACCTCACATACTTACCATGTTTTTGTGGTGAGAACACTTAAAATCTACTCTTGTACCTATTTTCAAATATATAATATGTTGCTATTAACTGTAGTCACCATGATATACAGTAGATATCCTACACTTCTTTCTCCTAACTGGAATTTTTGTGTCCTTGACTAACATTTCCCCAACCGCCCACCCCACAACCTTTGGTCACCACCATTCTCTATTTCAATGAATTTGACATTTTTAGATTCCACATATAAGTGAGACCATTTGGTATTTGTCTGTCTTTGCCTGACTTATTTTACTTAGCAGAATGTCCTACAGGTTAATCCATGTTGTCACAATGTCAAGATTTCCTTTTTAAGGGTCGAACAGTATTCCATTATGGAATATACCACATTTTCATTATCCATCTGTTGATGGACGCTTAAGTTGTGTATATCTTGGATATTGTGAATAGTTGCAGTGAACATGGGAATGCAGATACCTCTTTAACGTACTGACTTCATATCCTTTGGCTGTATACCCAGTAGTGTGATTGCTGAATCATATGTTATTAG